TGACATTTGATAGAGTAGCATAAGATGTTGGAGGAGAAGAAAAAGAAAGGATACAAAAGTAATTAATGTTTCTATACAGTATATTGAAAAAATGGCAGGTCTTTAAACACAACCTTAAAGTAACACACACTCAAACTGACTATATGGTATATCAATAAGTCACCCAGTGTTATCTTACATTATCAAAGAAAACGTCTTTGTGGCAGCGGGGTGTGGTTTGGGCGGCTGGCTGCTGGAGTGAAGGGAGGGGCTCGGCCGGAGGCCAGACAGCTGATCGGAATCAGGTAATCAGTGCAGGAAGAAAAGCATGTCGTAACCTGGTTCTGTTCGGTTATGCAGTAGGCGGGATCCTGGAAGGTCGCCAAAGGACCTGTGAAGTTTCCCACCCGGGCAACGTTTGAGACCCGCGCATGTTATTGTTTGGAGTTAATAAACGCCTGTGTTTCACCAACCTGCTCTTTCCGTCCTGATTTGAACCCTGTGTGAGCGGAGAGGCTCACAAGTAGCCTACTGACAAGCTTTTATTTGAAATAACCTTATGTTAAATAATATGACTGAGTGGACATCCCAACATCATGGCCCTGACACTGCACACAATGCTCATATCTATATGAAGAGAAACAAAAAACTTTATGTCACACTGTTAACATCTTCAGTCACACCTTAAGGTGTTGGGTGTCAGGCGGAAGGGGGGGCTTAGAGTTATAAAGCAGCATTGCATTGACACGGTTAAACGCAACATGAGGAACTCAAACAATAGCAGTTTTACTCCTCTGCAGCCTCAGTAAGTACTGCTATTAATCCGCTGCATTGTATATCATTAATATATTAGTAACAAAACAATATAATTCCTGTTGTTGTGTATGCAAAGGCACATTTTTCTGTGTGTTTCAGGCTGGATCTGTGTCTCTTCTGAGTCTCAGACGGTGGATGTTTCGCCTGGTGAAGAGGTCAGTCTCCTGTGCTCAAACTTTTCCAGTGCTGTAACTCAGATCATGTGGTTCAGAGTAGTCAAAACATCCGAGCCCCGCTGTGTCTCCCATATGTTCGAGCCCCTCGAACCTGCCTCATTCTGTGAAGGATTTAAAAAAGAAAAATTTGAAATGACATCCAATCTCTCAACTATTTCTCTCAAAATCAAACAAGTGAATTTGTCTGACTCTGGACTGTATTTCTGTGGATATAAAATAAACTCACAGCCGCTTATTATTGAAGCAACATATTTAGATGTGCAAGGTAAGATTGGATCTTTCTTATGAAGAATGTACAATGTTCAGTCATAATTTTGGATTATATTTATGATGATTTTATATTTATCAGATCTCAAGCAACTAGAGGCATACAAACACAGTGGATTCTTTATTTTATTGTAGAAGATGGGAGTACAAAGCTGCTGAGTTACATCCTGTGCAGTCTGATCATGTTCCTCATTGTGATCGTCATTTGTATGGCTGTTAAAATTAACAAACTTCAGAAAGCTAATTTTAATCTCTATTTTTTCACATCGTCCCTTAATCGAATGCATCAATGGCAATAGTTCAGCCATATTACATCTTGTTTCTCTCTTTTAGCTAATGTTGAAGAACAGAATCCCCAACCCACAGAGGTAAAGTTAATTTTTGAAATGTTTATATTTCAGCAGCCATATATCATCTCTTGATAGGATCTATCTACCTGATCCTATTTACCTGATAGGAGTGACTGACAATGTTTGTCTTCACAGGTTCAGGGCTCAGATGATCTGATCAATGCAGCGGTGACGTTTCGTCTGGCTGAATGAAACCAGCGGTCTGCAGCTCAGAGAGAAGTGGAGCCAAATGCTATTTATTCAGCCACCAGATAAACTCAGGAAACACCTGGATCTGTTGCTATGGGTGCTAGTTTGTCCCCTGTACAGCAGAAACTAACAGACAAAATCCACTAGATGGCTTCGTATTAGAGACTTAAAAAGCAATAATAAAGCAGACAAGATGAAGTTCCAAATAAACAGCTTGGTTTCATTTCCTATGACAACAGTATTACTATCCATGGGAACCATCTTTATTTCAATCAGGAGAGACTTCATTTTGTACAAGAACATTTATTGACACATGTCACATGATAAATGTTAAGTCTTTGGCGATTAGACCCCGATCCTGAAATCGTATATCTAAAGGGGGAAATGCAGCCGTGAGCATATAGGGAACCCCCCGGGGTCTAGACACTGGTGATGATGCTGAAGATCTGGATTTGATGAGGAGATGGGATGAAGAGGAGGTGTGATGAGGTCTTTGGATTAACTCTCCTGGCACTGCATATGATGAAAGGAGGTGGATGGGGAGGAGGCGGGCGACAGAATGACAACCTGGAATCACAGCTGACTGCAGGAGAGAGGAGAACCATTTTAAAGTTTGGCTGCAGCTCGTTGATTGGCTGCTGGAGAATGAGGTGAATGTAATAGGTTAAAGAGAACGCCCGTGATGAGCTGATTATAAGCAGCTGCGGACTGAATGTATACCAGTCTTCCTGAAAGAACTTACGCTAAGCTTCATTTACTTGTATATAGACTCTCCTTGCACTATTTCTATTTTATTTGTATTTACTTGCACTCTTATCTGTTTTATTGTGTTGCACTGTTGGAAGAGCCTGTGACCTATGATTTTCATTGACATACTGTAGCTATGTACAAATGACAATAAAAGCCTTGAATCTTGAATCTATTCAATGTCCTGATCACAAGGACAAAAAGGATGAAAAATCAGTTTTCTCAAGTCAGTTCACTGAACTTTATATATTAAAAGGGGAAAGTGAGTGAGGTAAATTATATTAAGTCTCATTTTTTTGGAAAGATTCTGTAGGCTATTAGCTTATAACATTTTTGCCATTTGATATTAATTCCTGGAAGGTTTACTTGCTGAGTGTGGACAATAACTAGCATCAAGTGACATAGGCCATGACAGTTCAAAGAGGAACCGCAGCTCAAAGTGTAATTATGCTGTGTCATGTTAACCTGCTGTAGTGCTCTGTGTGGGTGAATGGGAGGAGTAATAACACTCCATTAAGCTGCTTCAGTGCTAGGGTATCATAGCTTTCTAAGACAATTGTAATGTTAAAAGTCCTCTGAGCTGTTAGATCAGGGGTGTCCAAACGACGGCCGGCCCGCGGATCATTTTGAATCGGCCCTCACTCAGTAAATAAAAAAAGTATAATGACTTAAGTATAAGAAACTTTTGCTTGTCTTATATTGTACTTCTTAAATATATAATATTCAAATATATTACACAGTATTCATGTTTTAATAGGCCCAATTTTCTATAAAAAATGCAGTCAATTAAAGTGGAAAACATGTTCTAACAAATCTAAGTTGATAAGAAAAAAGCCCAATAATACATTTACATAACAACCTTGAAATATAACCTTCATATTTCCTCGTTATAAGCAATCTGAAGCTTCTGTTTTAAGGAATGAGCTGCCAACACAATAAAGTAAACCCTCTGGAGAGCTGTGAGCTGTTTATTTTTTAAAGCATTTTCAAGTATCAAGAATAATGTACCTACATTGGATTGACTTTTCCAACTTAAAACAAAACTTATTAGGCAAAATACCTCTAGTGAGCGGGCCAGCCCTTCTTATATATATTTTTTGCCCTCTGTAAAAAAGTTTGGACACCCGTGTTAGATAGAAGATATTTTAGGGAGTGTTTGAAAAAGGTTTACAAAAAGCTTCTTGGTTGGATGAGAAGAAGGGGGACCTTTTATATACCTGTCATCTTGTTTTGTAAATTCAGTAAATCACTCTTTTAATGCTCTGATTCTGGACTTTAATAAACTCTAACATATCCATTGTGTTTCTCAAAATTGAAAAAGGAAATGTTATCAAAAAAGACGCACAATAAATAACATTCATTAACATTGACTCCATGTTATTGTTTTAATTATTTTATTCATGCAGTTCAGTTTCCAAAACAGCAATACAATGCAAATAACTAATGAAAATTGTGTAAAATCAGCTACTGTTGCAAATCCATTATATCGTTAATCGACTTCATGTTTTCTGGGGATGTAAAAATGTAAAACCTCTGTGTCTGAAGTCCTTTATGTCAAATTAAAATATTTTCTAGCTCAACAAAAACAAGCTAGTCTGACTGCTCCTCTTATTTTAACCCTGGCTGGACTTGAAAACACTGCAACTGCCTAAAAAAGGACTGTCAAATATATAGGTAGCTTTTTTCCCCCAGCCAACACTGGTGATATAGAGCAGATTTACAGCTGTTAATAACCAAACTAACACTAGTCAATTGTCTAGATTTCCACTAGTACAAACCTCTGTAGTAAATAGGTCTAAACTAGAAATATAGAGTTGAATGTGAGCATGTGCTGTCAGTATTTTATACTTCTGTTGTCCTTGAAGCCCTGGACTTACCTGTTGCCTCTGCAGGTCTCCAGATGCTACTCCAAGTCAACCCGTTTCAGTTTGGGCACTGAAGGGGACAGGTTAGGTCATGAATGATAAAAGCTTCAGCATTTTAGACAGGTGGAGAGATGGTTCTCTAATCAGCGTGACGATCTTAACAAGTTTATGCTTTAGAGCTGATTATTTTTTCGAAAGATCTTAGGAGTTGGCGAATCATTTGAAGCGGTTACAGTGATGTTTTTTTTTAACGCTGGGCATGATTTGGGCACATCTGTGGACAACATTACTGCACAACTCCGTTTATTAAAAACAAGTTCGACAATGGACAGGTTTATGTGAACGCTTTGCGGAAAATTTCCTATTAACATACTTTTTTTACATTTGTCTGGGCAGTTAAAAAGTGTTCAGCCACGCCATATGGAGCTTTGTTTTTTTTGCGATGGGAAAGCGTAACACAATGGAACCAACGTGCAGATTAGATTTAATACCAAACATGATACAGTTCAGTTTAATCTACAGATGTACACAAGTATCGCCTATACTGCTGCTGAAATTATTCAGCTCTCTAAGGTCACACACAACATCAGAATACTAATCTTTTTTTTTACGTTAAAGTACAAATTAAAAAACTCCGCCTAATTCATCGTCAAGCATAAAAAAAAAATGCTACAGCACAGTAAGAAACTAAAACAATCAGGGAGGAGAAAAACTAGTAAAAACTGTCCCAAAATAATAAAAACAGACGTGGACGTCGGCAATTCATTTCCTCCTGTGAGCATCGCAGTAGAACGCAACGCGCTCAGCCACAGACGGGAAGAGGATAGTGTCACGAGCATCAGGAGGCGGCGAGCGGCGACGCAGTCGGACGACGATCCTGAAAAAAGAGCAGATGAAACAAATGAAGCGTCTGCAAGTGGTATCTCAAAGCACGTTGTTCCTTCTGAGTTATCTACGTGGAGTTCTGCTTCTCGAGTCGTTCTCAGACTGAGACCTCTGTCTTTGTCGGATTATGGCACACATTTAAACTGATATTAGCTGATAAGCAAGTTATGCGTTACCAACAAAACTTGGTGAATGTCACCTTGTACGCATGCTTTTTCAAACCTTGTTTTCCCAACAAGATCTGGAGGACAGCCTCTGCCTGTTTAGGGACCAAATGTATGACAAAAACCAGTCTACCTCAGGCCTATTCTCACCTTAACATGCCAGGGCTTAATAAGCGTAGCGTGCAGGCGGTGGCGGGGGCAGCCGTTCTGCGTAGGGGTCCCTGGCGCGTGGAATTCCGTATGCTGGAACCCGGGAAATGGGAGAGAGTCGGGAGCGCTCGTAGGAGTAGCCATTACTGGAAGGGGGCATTGGTGCGCTAGGCGCTCTCCTTAGGGGACTGCGGTCTCGGGCGTAGTACGAGGAAGGGGGAGGTGGGAGGGGGCGACGGTCATACGGGTCGTGCGACGAGGTCATAAGGCGGTCTCGGACGACGGATGGAGGGGGAGGGGGAGGAGGGGCACCGCCACGTTGGTCCTCGTATGAGGGGATGCCATACGGACGGGCTCTGTACTTCTCGTAGTAATCTACCACACCATATCTGTCCCTCTCACCCTCATAGGGGCGCTCGGGATAAACGGCTCGTCTAGGGGGAGGGGGTGGCAGAGGAGGGGCAGGGTAACCTGGGGGAATATGGCTGAGGCGCCCTCTCATGTAGCTGGGCGGAGGGGGAGGCTCATGCCTCTCTCCTGGATAACGAGGAGGCCAATAGCCTCCCCTGTCTGGGGGAGGAGGAGGGTAGTCGTCCCGTTCGTCATGTCTGGGGCGACTCTTGGAAATCTGGACATGGATGCGTTTGCCTAAATAGGAAGAAAAAACACAGATAAAGAAAAAAAAATTAAATACCCAGATTTCAAATGAGACAACTACAACAATACTATTTAACAAATTCTGCTATACCTTGAAATTCAGAATTATCCAGTCCCTTGATGGCATCCATGGCCTCATCAGAGTTGGCCATGTGTACAAAAGCAAAATTCTTAACAACAGCACACTCTGAGACTGTGCCGTACTCTTCAAAGAGAGCGCGGAGCTCGTCATCAGCTCCCTTCTCTACATTGGCTACATGCAGTTTGATAGATCCCTGGTTCTTCCCGTGGCTGGCCTCCACGTTGATCGGTGTGCCGTGAAGCTTGTACAGGTGCAGATTCTTAATGGCTTTAGTGGCAGCCTTGCGGTCATCCATGTGGATGAAGGCGTAGTTCTTGATGATCGCACATTCTGTGACCGTGCCGTACTCGGTGAAGAGAGCCTTGATTTCCTCCTGGTCTGCCTCTCGGGGAAGGTTCCCCACAAAAATCTTCACCATTGTTAAAGATCTGTCTAAGAACAATAATTAAAAAAAAAAAAAAAAAAAAACATTATACAAAATGTATTCAGTGTTATAAAGTATGCCTTACTCCTTTTCTCTGAAACTCAAGTAAGTCCCAGAGGTAAATTAGGTAGGCCCTTTCATTGCAAAATGGATGACTTATTATCAAGGCACAGTTCTACACGCACTGGTTCATTTACAGGCGTTGTCGAACTTAATTTAACATTAAACGTTTCTTTGAGCTGTATTGCTATAAAGTAGCGCAAGGTTTAAGTCTAAACACAACTACTGGTCTTGCTTTAGCAAATGTGCTAGTGCTAGCAGTTAGCTTTGGTTAGCTTTCTAGTCTAGACACGCCATTAGACAAAGCATCGCTCACCACATTTACACAAAAAGTAAATGTGGACGAGTAAATAATAATATACATTTATATTGCTGTTAATATCGAGCCACTTTGTATATGATTTTTTGTTACCTTTTATACCGGGCGGCCTGGACAAAGACTTCTAACCCGTTTCAGGATCTTTCCTTCTACGCAGACTGCTGCCGTTTGGGTTTTCTCAGCGCGGTATGAGATTCTACGGCTCTGGGTTTTCTATTTCTCGTTATTTCTTCTTTGTGTGTCGCCATTACTGCCGAACGACAACCACAGCGCCCCCAGTGTCCCGGGGGAAGCCAATGTGATTTTTTGGATTGTGTTAACAAATCATCGCAATTCTTGTATGGAAAATACAATTAAAATATGTTCTAACTCGTAATTAAATCTATACTAACTGTGCAACATATACCTTTACTTTGACTATCGGGCTGCTATCCCACTATATTCTAAATGTGACACAGAACAAACTGAAACGTCGACTTTAATTCAATGTACGTATTATGTCAACTAATTTCACATAACTATTAGGTTAGTTGAAAGCCATAACATTAAGGTGAACCTAATATGTTTTAATTAAACGTAATTGTATTGCTTTCAACTAACCTAATACAGTTATGTGAAATATGGCATAATACATTTAGTTAAAGTCAACGGTTCAGTTTTTTCAGTGTACACTTTAAAAAAATGTTTGTAAAACATTGCTATTATTGTTGTCAACATGGGTGGCTACTTTTGTAAATTGTAATTTGTGTAATATCTATCTCTAATATGTTATGCTTGCCTGTTATTTGATATGGCGCTGTTTTGCCTCTTTACTTTTACTGCAACAATGTACACGTCTACTCTGTGCTAATAAAGGTTTTCCGATTGTGATTAACTTTGTTAAAAAGTTATACTTTATGTATCAGGTGATACAATAAATACATCCTGCTGTTTGAACAAGTAGACATATTTTGATTTGTATTGTGTTTTTATTTAATTAGGCTGTGATTGCTTTATATTCCTTTTTTATTATGTGCATGTATTGTACTATTGTTTTAATGTATTTTGTACTTTGTATATATGTATTATCAGTTTTGCCTTGGTTTTTATTTAATTTATTTTAATAATAAGGAAATAAATAGTTCTACTGTAAGCATTTCTACAAAATTGGTTTAAGTGCCCTTCCAGTAGCCTAACCCACATACAAGTTTGGTAATAACCATATAGATTGTATATATAAATGGACGTAGGGTCCGTGACGTCACCCATAGGATTCTGCAGAGTTGCATAGAAGCTTAAAGTAGACGGTGTCGGCCATAGATACATATAAACACGTTGTTAAATATTTTTAATCGACTGACAGCACTATTATTTATATTTTGCCATCACTTAATTATACGTTTAATACATTTAAGTCAAGCTAAGGTACATGTGATAGCTAGTTAGTGCTCTTACCTCTGATGCCTCCTCCAAACAGCATAATAACCAGACTGTGCCATTAAAACTACAAGTACAGTTATAGATCCTTGACTTTAGACAAACAATTCAAAAGACAAAATCAACTAAATGTATTTAAAGACCAATCTTTATTTGAAGGTGCCTCTTAACCTGGGATATTAGTTATACAGTAATAGTATTGCCAATCTAAAAAAACTCAACGGTTCACTTTTATATTTCTTATTGTCTAAAGCATTTATTATTTTCATTTTTCCCCTCTCATATTCAGTGTGGACGGATTGAGACAGCGTGGTGTCCAGAGAGCTGCAGAGACTTCAGGGAGAAACCTCAGTGTGATGGACGTCCTGTCTGTTGGTTTGGAGAGGACTGAGGGTCTTTCCTCAGCGAGGAGGACCAGGCCTGATGGAGGAGCCCATGCTGGGCATAGCCGATACCAACTGCACAGGCCTAGTCTGTCACGTTATTTGACTAAATGTGTTTACTTATACATTTAATAGGTTTACACCTTCTGTACAGACTATGGTTTACACCTTCTGTCCATATGTGCTTTTTATTTAAAACATGTTTGATTAACTTTTGGTTCGCATTTCAATAAATTGTATTTGTATTTGCACTCCTTTTGTCCATTATTCTTACTGAAAATGTTATATTACACATTCACATCTGACTGAAGATTGGCGTTGCAAACTCTGCGGTGACATCACAGCCTATGAAGACCCTAGAGAGACCATCAATGGACCCGCTGCAGTTCGCCTACCAGCCTGCCATCGGGTTGGATGACGCTGTCATCTACCTGCTGCAGAGGTCCCTCTCCCACCTGAAGAAGGCTGGGGGGGGNTTAAGAGCATTCCATGGAATATAACAAAAAGTGTTTTCTGAAATAAATTACATACCCCATTGAATTATGACTGAAGATCGTCAGCTGTCTTCCTCTCCCTTGTTGTTCCTCGATACGTAAAGGCTGCAGCACCGTTGACAACTTCTCTCTACATATCAAACATACCGGTAAACCAGCATCGTTTGCTGTGAAAGCATATAACTCTGTCCACGCAGAATTAAATCCTGTGTTCCTCCGGTACTTTTCTTTGATTTAACCGTAGTTCGCTCATCGAGCCGGGGGTCAGGTTATTCACCCGCAGGAAAAGGCGCTGGCGCGGGACCGTAGCAGGATGTGATGCATATTTTAGTTGACCTAATTAAAACCGTTTTGTTTTTTATTTATGTGTCACAGTATCACCTCAAAATACAAGATACGAAACATTTTCAACCATGCAACAAAATATAAATAGTCCTACAAATACTTTTATTTTATTTCCTTCTTATTTTTGTCTAAGCTTATGGTCTAAGCTCAAGGGAGCCAGAGCAGAGGGCTTAAAGGGCCGCGGGTTGCCAACCCCTGGCATAGGCTATAGCTGTCTAACAGAAGTTAAATCCATTCCTCACTTATTCTGACAATGTACTTAACCCCAAATAAAAGAACACAATAAAAAGAGTGGTTGAATAATAGTGAAGTCACGTTGTAATAACAATAACTCATCCCTCTCGAGTTTTCTTTTTGTGCTTTGCCAAAAGCCACTGTGTCAAGTGTCCTGCTTGGGTTGCCGTATGGCAACTCGCACATGCACACTGCAGATAGGGTAAGTGACAGTAATAACGCACAGTGCCTATCGTCATTTTTTTTACTGGATATGTGTAGTAGTATGGTAGTAAAATGGTGATTAGGAATGCAACTAACTACTTCTCGTATTGTCTTGATGTGTAAAGCAGGGTGTAGTTTCCCGCTGCTTGTCAGTGCCAGGCTGAAGCACACTGCTAAGACCATAGAATAGATTGTATTGACTTTCTTTTACAGATTTCGAAATAGGGAAATTCCGGTGCTAAAATGCTACGTTAAAGGGCTCATCTATGGATGGTAAATTAGTGAACAGCACTCCAAAACTAAAACAAAGAGAAGAAACAGTGTAACAAAGTTAGCAGGGGGTAAAATGAAGATTTTTGGCTAACGGGACATTGAGTACAATCATTTGAAATACCCATGCAATACTTTACTTTATTACAAAATGCTGTCCTCCCAGTATTTTTCAATTGAACAGTCGTCATAGAATGCCAAAAACCTTTCCCACAACAGAAGAGGACCCGGAAGGTTGCATATCCTTATTATTTGATACTATTATTACTGAGTAACAGTCTAAAAACAACATTTTAGACAAATCTCAAATGTTAATAAATGTTCTGTTAATCACCTAACGAACCGATTAATTTTAACACTGGAGGTAATGACTCCGTAGGAATTGTGTGTGTGAGTGGAAATACGTTGTGTTGGGCTGAAAAGTTGGCTAAAATGTTTATCTATACCCCAGTGAAAAGTTTAAACGTACGCTAAACGAACGAAACTGAAATAAAGCTTTTCCTCTTCATTGCTTTGTAACATTGAGTTTTACTGACTTGTACGTGAACGCATCAATACTCTGAGAATGACGAAACTCAGGTCAGAGAAGAACAGCATGCTGAGAAGTAGTCTCCCGGTTTTCTCTCAGCACCCGCACCGTTATCCTCCGAGTACTTTTAACTACATTCGACTAGCATTTTTCAGTTTCTTCCAAATAAAAACTAAGACATTCAGGTAAGGCACAGACCTATAATAGTTATTGTAAATGCACACTCAACATTTTTAGGGAGTAGGGATACAACTAACGCTATTTCCGTTATCTTTGATTGTTTTTACAATGTGATTGTTGGTTGTTATCGCTTATTGTTTTTCATAAAGTGTATAAAATCTCAGAAAAAAGTGATAAAATGTCCACCCAAGTTTCTCAAATGATGTCTTTAAGTTAGTGTATGATTGTTTGAGTTATCAAGAAAAGCAGTAGGCCTACACCTCCATATTTAGATAGATAGGTTATTGATCCCAATTTGGGAAATTATTTGTTACAGAAGAAGAATCAGTGTGTTCAGACATTAAAAATACAAATACTTAACAAGTGGAATAGAGAATTAACAACAGAAATTATAAGTAAAAATAAAACGAAAAATATTATATCAAATATAGTTTGCAAAACTATTTTGGTCAAAAAAAAGTTGGTGATTATTTTCTCAGCCATTAACTAAAAGTTGCCTATGTTTGTAATTCACCTCGTCTCACTGAACTCCTAATATGTTTTATTTCTGCCCCAGAATTGTATCACTAAAGGTTAACAGGCCAATCCACCTGGTCTCCTCATTATCCACGATGAATGTGTCCCAGACGATAGAGACGGAAGAGGATCTCCTCCCTTGTCTCCATGTCAAACTCTACCACCCTCAGCAGAGCTCCAATAGTCTTTACGGGCTCATCCCTCTGGGGAAAAGAAGCAAACACCCAGCAGAGGACCCTCTCAGGCTGGGGCGCGATGGCCAGGCCTGCACTGTCGCCCTGCTTGACACCCGGGTGTCCCGCAAACAGCTGGCCATCCAAGCCTACTACACCCCCAGAAGCCGGGACATGCTGTTCAGGATCCAGAACCTGAGCCAGAGGGCCCAGCTGTCTGTGAACAGCTCAGCGTTGGACTACCTAGAAGTAGTGGATCTCCCGGACAAAGCCCTGATCCGGTTCGGACAGTACGAGATGCTGATCATCCGAGAGTCCGGCGAGGCCAAGGCCAGCTTCGAGGTGGAGTTTGAAGTCCTGACAGTGCCTCCGTCCAGAGAGACTTGCACCTGTGAGCCTAGCGTGACCCCTGTCTCGGACACAGAGTAATTAATGGTGAACAGTTTGCTAGGAGAACTCAGAATAATTGGCCCCAGTGAAACGGATGAGACTGCAATATGTTATTCATGATGTAGAGGCTCTTTACTTTCTAACTTAAACTGCTGTGTCATTGTCACCTCTTTGTAAGGTTAAACTATAGTATTATTCTGCTCCCTAAAGCTGTGATCTTAATATAATAACTACTTTTAAAATGCCTTCTTCATGCTTTTTTAAATTAAAGTCTGTTTTAGTTAAATGGTGTTGTGAATGCTGTGGCCAAATATGTGACTACCCTCATACACCACTATTGCTGGAACACAAAGCGGGGTTAACAGATTACAAAACAGGTTTGTCCAGTTTTGCATTTGATAAAGTCGGTTTCACATGTCCGTTAGCAGAAGTTCTCGGAACATTTAGAATTTCCACTTCACTTTGTTCCAGTAGATGTTTAAGGAGGTATAATGTAGTTTTCTTGACTTACAGCAAGCCAAACTATACAATTCTATCAAATTATGATTAAAACATCTAGATTTCACTAAGAATAGTACAATTAGATTATCAGAAATATATACTTTTTATGCATTTTTATATAATGTAGGATTTTTATTCCTGAAACAATAAAAGCATGTTACATTTTATATTATGCTGTATGTTGCTATAGCTTTCAAATAAATATAGTGAATACAAATGTACACTATTTCCATGTCACATTAAGGTATTTTGACATGTACAGCACTTGAGTACAGATGTATTGGTGAGAGTAGATTATTCTAAAACTGCATTATGGTATTCAGATAATATTGAATTGCTTTAGCTGGCTAACACCTGCTTGAGTCATCGATCCTCTTAGGGTCGGTTTCAATTCTGATTGGAGATCCTCATCCTATTTTATGGCATTTACAAGCAATATGAGATCCTTATCTACTCATGGAAGCAGAAGAGCAATGTTTCTCAGGAATGACAGGTACGCAAAGGGGATATCTGTCATACAGGCAGCATTGGCACTATAAAAAAAAAATTCCGGTCATCACAGTAATGCCACTGTTAACACCACCCAACCCTTGGTTTCTGGAAACTGGAATAAACCAAGGGAGTGTGCAGAACGGAAGCCTCAATCGACCTCAGCAGGAAACGAAAAGGAGAATAGAAAAAAATATACTTCTCATTGTTCACTTTGATTTTTACTCTCGATGGCATACCACTTGATCAGGATGTACTCTGCCTTTGACACAGTGTCAGCATTTTGTTTTGTATGTTAGTCATTTTTCTGGCTTATGAAGAAACACAGTATCAACCATTGCTGAACAAGCACATCTGATGATTTGATCAGCTAACGGGACATTTACAAATCTTATGGTCAAGTGTGATACAAAACTAAACCCATTTTCATCACACTGTATTCAAATAGAGATTTCTTTTTTGTAGGGTATGACATCACAGTTAAATTGAGGAAAATCTGTGAATTCTCTCATCTGTTCATATATCCCACTTGAGGGGAAAATGTAACTGTCTATCTACATTGTTTTAAAAAGGCAAGGGTTGATAAAATAAGACTACAATTTCTGATTTGGGAGAAAAGTGTTTATTTACACACCAAATCTTCTCATACTGGAAAAACAATGTTAATAAATAATCAGAAAATCAAGTTCTACATGAATATAGCAAATAGAGTAATACAAACATTGTGTTTAAGGCCATGCGATGGTTTAAAGTAAACATTTCAGAGCATTTGGACAGTCACAATTTAAAACCTAATTTCATCAGGTAGGTAAAAATGGCTGCTTAGAGTAGCACTGCTTTGGACAGATTAGCTCTTCGTCAACTTTGAGAGATCTTGCCTTAATAAGAAAGAAGGATTAATTTCCTTCCATCCAACTTGTGTCTTGGTGTCATCAACAATTCAGGTTTTCCCAAGGACTGGAAATCCCCCTCCAGCTCACCAACATATGGACCAAACTTTCCCTGGAGTTTTACAATTTCCTTCCTAGAAAAAACAGACACTTCACTCAAGATCTCAAAATGCACACGTCTTGTTTTGAAATTCATCATTCACTATTGCTTCACCTTTGCCTTCAGGGCTTTCTGAGCTCATCTTTTCCCAGCTGCTGCGTATTCACTGAGGCACAGAGCAGGAACCTGCAGACAGAGACAGGGGCTGTTTCTGAATGTTGAGTAGAGCTGCTGCAGAGCCACTATTTCAAGTATACTATGTCATCGATTGGCGCTGATTACATAGTATACTTGAAATAGTGGCTCTGCAGCAGCTCTACTCGACATTCAGAAACAGCTATGGTCATTGATCCCACTCCTCTTCACTGATCACACCTCTCATTACCTCATACCCAGGGTGATGTAATAACGATGTAAAATAAATAACAATGAATATGTTTTTGTATACATTTTAAGACTTTGGCAAGATGCAAAACTATATATTTTTTTACAATAAAATGTTTTCCAGATTTGAAAAAAATATTTTAAAGACTGACCTAGAGTTAATCTACCCTCTCTGAAATCATTGTTCAGCCAATTAAGTCAAGCGAAAAACATTTTCATGTCGGTTTAAAGCAATTGCATTAAAAAAAGGTAATATATAAATGAAAGGTGTTTATTTACATTAGTTTTAACTTAAATTATCATTAACAAATTATTATATTATTAATTTTGCAATATATATATTTATTTTATATTAATTAAACAAATTCTAATTAATATTTTTTTTAAATCTGCAGAAATCCACATAGACCCATTTGAGAAACAGTGTCCTCGAGCAGGACAATATTGCAGTATAAATGCAAAACCACATTTATTGCATTAGTGGTGTTTTGAAATATATCTGAAACACTACCTACCTCTTGCAGTGGCTGCCGCTCATCTTCAGAGGACGACTTACCCTGAGCTGGCGTCTCCTGATAGTCTAACAACCTACAAAGAGCAAAGATACTAAGAAGACCAAGACTGCATGCAAATGGTGGCACATACACATACAAGGTTATTTATGTTGAGTAGTATGTAGTGTGAACTAAATGAAAATGAAGAATGAGTAATTGCCGCAAGACGACATGTGCCATCGCAAAGCTAATTATTTATCTATTTCTAAGATTACCACCAATTAGCTTAGCTCATGGTAGGCAATGGAAATTGTGATGGAGCTCCCTCTACCACGGAAAACGTGTCAAATCAGGAAGACGCAGCATAAAAACATTGGGTGTCACCACCATTTAATCACTCCAGGGTTTTTGGAGAGCCAGATTTCATCAACTGTAATACATTAAAGGGTTGAAAGGAATGGATATTACATCATTTAACAGTTTTAAATGTCAGTGAATTGCTGCATAAAGATATATCTCACTTTGTATCACATTTTTAGATTATCAAGTGGACATTAACCTACACAAGATTTCAATTGAAAGCAGATTGAGTGCTTCAATAACAAAGACCTACAGGTTTTCACCATTTATGATGGGATTGAACAAGGCTGAGCCAACACTAACTACCATGTGTTAAGCTCCTAACTCAAGGGTGTGAAGCTGAAGCGTGTTAGGAGTTAAACGCCTGGGTATTACTTCGAATTCCTGCCGAGCCATTAAACTAGAAAGCCTACCGCACAAGGAAGAATTTGACAGTTAGAACGTAGTTTTTGGTTTCATTTGTTTATTAAAAAGCGATCAAATAAAAAGCAACTTGTAAAGTAAATCAAAATCATACATAATGGTTGTCTAGAATCTATTTTCGCAAAAAAAGATAACACAAAACAAACAAAACAACCCTTGAACTTTTGATTCGTCATGCTAACATTTGTCGCAAATCTTAAAAGATTACGTACAACCTGCCACACCATGTAAATGATTATAAAAACAAGTCTACACTGAACTTTTATTCTTATTTTGATTAATATTTTGTAAATAACCAAAAACCTTAGTCTGAGTGCAATGATTTTGATCTCAGACTATGTATTTTTATTTATTTAAACGTCTTCCCTCGTTATGGAAAAGAGCATATCCATTTAGAAAAATTGAAGAGCAGAGGGCTTTTGGCATTAACAGTACTCCGTCACACTAGGCAGGAAATAGACTAGGCATCTAGGCCAGCATCCTATTCTTTAAAACATTTGAGGGATCTAAACAGTAAAACAAGCAGAGGAACAGAAAAGGCATCAACAGCTCAGAAGATTACGTGAACCGTAGACATGGAATCATAGGATTTTAAAGTACGGGGCGGTCTGCAAAACAGTATCTTCCAGTAAGTCTCAGGCAAACGCAACGCAATCCGCCAAAGACGAGGGGGATGTTTAGCGCCACGTGCATCAGCAGACGACGACGACGATCTTGCAATATTCTAAACCTGGGAAGAGAGCACACCACACATGTCAAGGAGCGGGTTTTAATCGCGCAAGACTGATCTTTGATGTTAAAGCAGCAGTATTTTTAGGATTCTATCAGCAAGGGTTTAGTTTCTGTATATTGGTCTGGACTAAATCAGCAGGAATTAAGAGCTCTGGCTGATGGGGGGTGGTTTAAAGCGTGATTCTACCTCAACGGATTCAGCTCTCAAATTCATTTTCGGTGCACATTTATTTAACATTTTCTGAATCATGCTTACTTTTAAATTATATTTACCATCCACTCTGTTCTCACCTTGAATGACCCTCTGGATGCCTAGTAGCCCGCATATCGGGGGGGTGGTGGTGGAGGCGGGGGCCCTCTCTCTGCGTAGGGGTCCCTGGGGCGGTGGGCTGCATACATCTGAGGCGCGTACATGGGAGCCCTGGACAGCGGGGAGAGCCTGGAGCGCTCGTATGAGTACCCGTTACCGGCTGATGGAGGAGGCGGAGGGGGGGCACGTCTGATGGGGCTTCGATCTCTAGACATGTAGGATGGAGGGGGGAGGGGGCGGCGCTCGTACGGGTCAGGGGCCCCCATAGAGAGACGTTCCCTTACCAGTGCCGAGGGGGGTGGCGGAGGAGGAGGGGCGTTGGAACGCCTGTCATCGTATCCGCCCATGCTGTAGGGGCGGGCTCTGTATTTCTCGTAGTAATCCACCATGGCGTAGTCTTCTCGCTCGCCGTAGCCACGGTCGTGGTAAGATGCTCGTCTTGGGGGGGGGTGGCGGGGGCAGGGGTGGAGGGGCGTACGCAGACATGCGATCGCGGGGATCGCGGAGATCTCTGTGATCTCTGGGATCTCTGTGATCTCTGGGATCTCTGTACGGAGGCTCGGGCCTCTCCCCCGGGTAGCGGGGAGGGGGATAATAGCCTCCTCTGTTCGGTGGAGGCGGATAGTCGTCCTCCTCCTCGGGTCCACCTTTGGGTCTGCTTTTTGATATCTGAACGTGTATGCGCTTTCCTGAGAGAGAGAAAATCAGTGTCCCTCAAATCTAAAATACAACAGTATGGACTGGGGATGTCACGAGCTACCGATACATAAGAACAAAGTCATGGCCTATATTTCGTAAAACGTATGATTTATTATTTACAGCATCGTAATTCCCTGTACGGCCAGCATTCGAGACTAATGGCGTCCGATGTACAAACTGTCAATGCTTTCAAGGTTTATTTTATCCCGATTATGTTAAATTGTGAACAACGTTTTGATGGCACATGAGAGCTAGTTAATGTTAGGTGTTGGCAAAAGGTGGAAAAAGGTTTTACAGAGTCTATGGTGCATTCAGGCTCTTTTTAGCAATAAATAATATTGGTCAAAGGAAACTGCAGGTTTGTAAAAAAAAAAAAAAAATGTAGTTTTTAACCCAAAAATAGTTTTCACAATCTAAAAAGATATTTGAGGATGAATTATAACCTGTTTAAAGGTAAAAAAAATAAAAAAGAAGAAATACGGTTTCACTGGCATTGGTACATACAAATGATAGTATCGTGACATCCCTAGTTAGGACATCTAAAAAAAACTTGAATTGAATATTGATTGACTTACCTTGAAACTCTGTGTTATCCAGGCCCTTTATGGCATCCATGGCCTCATCAGAGTTATCCATGTGAACAAAGGCAAAGTTCTTGACAATGGCACACTCTTTCACTGTGCCATACTCTTCAAACATGGCTCGCAGCTCATCGTCAAAGCCCTTTTCTACATTGGCTATGTGGAGCTTCACAGGGCCCTGGTTCTTCCCTCTGCTGGGCTCCACGTTGATGGGCCTGCCATCCAGCTTATGGAGATGGAGCTCACGGATGGCTTTGGTGGCTGATTTGCGGTCATCCATGTGGACAAAGGCATAATTTTTGTACTTTGCACATTCTGTCACTGTGCCATATTTTGTAAAGAGAGCTTCCACGTCCTCCTTCTCAGTGTGCTGAGACAGGTTCCCAATGAAGATCTTCACCATGGTTGCTCAAGTGTGATCCTCTAAAATGGGATAAAAGAGGATGAGCAACCACAGGCCAGCATGTAATAACAGTCAGACAGTAACCAGGGCGAGGATATAGACGGCTTGTAATCGAGCCGCATGTCGGGTAAGGACAACCAGAGAAAAACAATGCCCACATATGTCCACAAGTGACCTGTTTAGCTTCGTTTTTATTCACCTATAACTTTTGTAATATAATAATAAACTGTACGACTTTAATTGCAGCTAGCTCGAATTAAATATATTTCGTCGCCGTGTTTGCACTTCCTGCTCAGAGCAGTTAGGCCCGGCTCGCTTTATTTGAATGGTTTCTATTAGCGAGCTAGCATTAGCTTCCAATCCATTTACCTCATGTAAGTTAACGGAAGTAAAAACAATTACATTCAACCATTACCAAATGTATTAAGTTACGTTGAAGACGTGTACAAATGCAGGCATTATAAAAGCAGAAACGAGTATATTTGAAGAAGGAGAAACTACTCACAGCTCGTGGTCGGTGGCTCAACGAAGTCGACTCGAAACCTCGAAACTCCCTGATAAGATCCACCGGATATGGTGTGGCTTTAAGCGCCAAAGCAATAATGTGATTGGTGGATAGACGCGTCAATTTCAAAGTACGGACTGTGATTGGCTAAAACGATGAAGACACTAGGTTTTATGCGGAAAAGCCTTTCTATTTTTTACGGCTTGGTTCGTTGGTAAGACTAGTTTTGTAGAAAGTCTACATGTAATAACTACACAGTCTATAGGTTATTTCCTCCCTTTATTGTATTGAGTATGTTTGTTTCTGATCTAAAATACCATGTGAATTTCATTTGATTATAGCATGTTTTACCTTTCTTATACCCAGATACTGCAGGAGATGTAGGAAGACACATGTTTGAAGGACACAGCTAATTCAAATGAAAGTGTTCAATCATGGCTGAGTGAATAAAAATCCCTAAGTAAGAATAGAAACCCAAACCTAGATATAGGTTTTAAAGGGAGACTCATCACTATTTTATCTTAAATCGCAACATGTGGTATTACTTTACATATCTTTTGAATGATACCTCATTCAAATTTAAAGCTGACTTTTTGATCTCTTTGTTGTTTTGTTTGGCCACTCGGGGGCAGAACTCCGCTGCAATCAGAATTCCACCCCTCTGTTTCTTTAAAAAAAGAAGGGTACATGCAGCTTTAAATATGATAGGGTATAATCTGGTCACAAAGAACAATTATCTTACATCAGAACAATATAGGGACCAAGATTAGGAGTACCTCTCATTGGGAAAACTGAAATAACAGTCACAA